GGGGGGGGGGGGGGGGGGGGGCTGAGGAATTTTGTATGAAATTTCTTCAAAATTGGGTGAAAAATATTGTGCACTTTTTTATTTCGATGCATAATGAAAGATTAATTATTTGGAGGCAATTCAGAACGTTTGCATAATCATAATCCTCAACTTCTCATGATTTTTCAAAATAAAAAATTACAAATCCAATATTTTTCATGCATTTCATTAAGAAAATTTCATGCAAAAAGTCAATTCCCTACTTAACAAATCGTTTTTTTTTTGTAGAAACAACTTAATGGGAATTCTATCATTGGGAGAAATTTTTCGCGAGATGCGGTGAAAATTATTTCAATTTCAGATCCAGTTTGAAATAAATTTTAACCCATCTTCGGGGTTACTGTAGGTAATTGTAATGAGTTTGGTGATTGAGTGGTGGAGTTGTTCGAGGTGAATAATTTTTTTTTAATTGTAAGGGTTTAGGAGAAAATATCGAGAGACATTTTTTCGTAAAATTGGCAGTTAACAAGATAATTGGACAATTACGTGATGGACTCGAACTTTTTCATCACTTCGTTAACGATTTTTTTTTGGTCGCTGTCTGGTGAGACAGGGTGATAACCTCTCGCCAGTCCAACGACACTTGATTATCGTCATTTCTCCGTTTTGCGTTTTAATTGCGTTGAATTGAAACAAAATGAAATCAGAAATTTTTCCACTTGAAATTCTATGGTAGGTAAAACTGTAAATAAAATAATTCACGACTTATTTTGAGGCGTTTCATGAAAGTCGTGGGATTTCGTTTTTTTTTCTCTCATTTGATGGTATTTTTTCGAAAATACTTCGTACTAAAGCTATCGTGAATCAGTTTTACAGTGAAATGTGAAAAAAAGAAGAATCAAAAACTTTGATTCCAGTCATTTCGTGAATATCTCAAAAGCTATTAGGAATATCGAAAAATGTAGTAGAACATTTTTTGTCGAGCATGAAAGTGCCCGCAAAAAAGTTCCTACGACATTTGTCCTTAAACCAATTATTTTCAAAGATATTCCCGGAGTTCCATCTAACAATTTTGATTCATAATTTTTTTCATTTTACTAATGAATAAAAAAATTACGATAATGAGAATAATTAACCTGATAAGATGAAATTATCGATTTACGATAGTCTTTGATGGCGTATGAGTAATTGTGAAGAGTAATTAATGATTAATTAATTAAGTGTATAAGAATTAATCACGAATTGAGCGATAAATTTACAAGCTATACTTTGCATAGAACTAGTGGAGGTTTTCCAATAATTGAAGTGAAAATAATAATAATAAGGTAATGAGTAATTAGCTTATTTGCCAGCTATGTTCCCCACGTGCTTAAGGTGTCTATTTGATCGGAGAGGCTGATGCAGCAATTAATTACGATTATTCATTCCTGGGAAATTTCTTCATTTCAATTAAATGGGAAATCAGATGATTGGGATGAATGAATCATTGAGTTATCGATTGAATCCTGTGTCCTCTCTTCGAGTTTCTCTGCACTGTGCGAACGTAGATCTTACGATCCCAAGTATATTATTTAATTAACAGAGGATCGAGAATTAATGTAATGTTAATGAGAAACTGTATGTTTTTTCCTTTAATAATTGTAGTTTGTAAAATCATAAGCATCGCTTGTATCCCGTAGGGACTTAATCACTAATGTTTAATGGAGAATGAAAAGTGTTGGGGGTAAGTGACGACGGAATGTGGCGGGGGGTGAGGGGGAGGGGAGGTAATTGTTGAGTTAACAATCTTCTCATAGTTTCTTCAGTTCATTTTTTCATTCGTTGGAGTTTTGTTCTTTGGATTAACAATTCCAATTTTGTTCTTCACAAACATTGATTTTCTTGGCTTGACCACATTAATTAATTGGCAATGAAAAAAATTAATCAATTTAATTATTACGAGAAATTTGATGGAATTTTCATTAATTTTCACTTCATTATTAATTTTGATTGATGATTAATCAATTATTTCATGCTTGGAGAATTCCTCGTCATCAATCATTTTTCAATATTCAATGAATGAAATTCAACTGGAAGCCTCAGATGAAAATTCAGTTTCGCAAATTGTGATGAATTTGAAATTTTCTGGTCACCTGTTGATTTTAGAAAAAAAAATGTCAACAGGCATATTTTTTTAAAAATTAGAACATTCTCTCCTAAATTACTTTTTTTTATCGAGATAAACCCTCAATTTCAAATGATATTTTCAGAAAGATCGAATATTCTCAGCTCAAAGATGTCTCCCCACCTCAAAAAATAAAGTTGTCCAAACAAATTTCATTTTCCCTTATATTCGAAATACGTACGAGTCATGCCGATCGAAAGTTTCCGGATCCCAAGATCGATAAAAAATCGAGAAACCGATAGAAATCACGAGTGTTACGTGTCTCGTGTACGAATCAATTATTTGTTTTTTTTTGGAAAATAGGCATTACTTACATGCAAAGTATAGAATGTGTAAGAATAATAAGTGCGTGACTAGTGCGAAATAATCGTAATAATTCACTGGTGACTCGACGTCACCTGGATCTTCGAATTTAATTTGAATAATCATAAATTTAAAAAATTGATCAGATGAAAATCGATGGAGTGGGTTAATGTGGACCGGTGATGAATTGTATTTTCTGCCACAATGCTAAATATAACGATAACAATTGCATTTTCACGAGTCACTGGGTAACATAAACAAACAATCTCGTGACTATAAATTTTCGAAAAATCATTAAATTGCAACAGATGAGTGAAATAAATTGCAGTTTTTGCGTTTAAAATGAATAGAAGATGATAATGAGTGATAGTAATTTATTTATTTGATGCATGAACTTATGAACGTGTCAAGAGATAGATAATACATCTAGTCGATTAAGAAAAGGGATAAAAATTTTGTCGTTTATTCAATGATTTGTCATTGGCTCATTAGTACGAATTTTTTTTTTGTTGATGCAACGTCAAAATTTTTCGTTCATTTTTTTCCGAAAAAATTGAAAAAAAAATAAGAAGAGCGATGAAACTTTTATCCATCT